TGAAGCACTTGTGTTCAAGGAAGGCATATACAAAAAGAGAACATTTCTTGGGGATACACAATATATTTAATACAATTGTGATTATGTAAGATAGGTTCCTTCATATGAAGCAAACCTTCATATATTTATTATGGGGGGGGGGGGAGTTGGAAGTGTTTGCTGTATATCCTTGTGCAATGTTTTCCAAAGAACTTCTTGACATGCAAATACATGAAATATGACTCACTAGTAGCTATGCCCTTCTTGTTTATTCATAACCACACAAGCATTTCTGTCTCCATTTCAATGCATAGCTTAGAACACAAACATCTATCAACTTTACAGTTTGTTCTTTGTAATGCACAGGCATGGAAATAAAGGTTTAAACATCAGTCAATGTCTGCAAACTTCCTAGGAAAAGTGATCTATTTGTTTTATTTTATTCAGCCTGTTTAGAAGCTTGCCTATACACAGCAACTAGAGATGTGAAGACTTAGAAAACATAAAAATGGGGGAGAGCTGTGAAAAAAAATTGTTTTCCCCTCCATGACATTACATCTCTAACAGCAACCCATAAAAAGATAGAAATAAACAATAAAAGTGGTATCAATAAATGTTTTAAGTTGACAAAAACAGATAGTTTGATCTTAAATATTTCTATGTGAACACCAATTACATCTTCCTAGGATTTCTGTGAGGCAATACATGTTAAAATTACTGCTTCATGGCACCATTTTGCATTTTTCTCCTTGCTAATTTTCCTCACATTTTTTTCTGTCCTTGTAAGGCAGGTGTGGGGAATATTCGGTCCTCCAGATATTGGTGAGCTACAACTCCCATCATCCCTGGCCATTGGTCATGTTTGTTGGGGCTGATGGAAGCTGTAGTTCAAAAACACGCTGCAGAGCCAAAGTATGAAAGCAGTCAATTACTTGCTCCTGGAATCCTACCATTCTGCCTCTACTATAAGGCTTGAAGCATCTTCAGAACAAGCCACACAGACAATCAGGATTCTTGGGATAAGAAAAATGCTACCCAAAGCAGTTTTGGTATATACGTAGTGTGATTGCACAATAAAGAATAAACACAGTCTTCAGACATAGCCTTATTCTTTTGGTCCCTTGAGAACCAATTCAGGGATCTACCATATTCAAACATGAAAAAGTGATGTGCATGACTAGTCCCAGTATTACGGTATATTTTTCACCAATTCACTTACCTGTGAATAATCTCAAAAGCACTAGCAAAGAGGGCAAATGATATACCAAAAGCTGTTTTCAGAAAGGACTGCAGTAATCAACTAGACTTCCCTCATTCATTGCTGCATTTCATATTTCAATATTTCCCCCTAAGCTCCCCAAATAAAAAATAAAGTGGTAGCAGGCAACAAGGTGGCGACAGCTGTCACTCCTTGTGCCATTTAAATCGGTACAGTGGGGGGAAAACAGCAGCAAGAGTATGGGTAGCAGCAGTCTTGTGATGGGGTTCACAGACAGATCAGCTTTTTTGCCTGTACTTCCTGCTATCCCCAATCACCTATAATTCACTTGAGGTGTTTGTCTTCCTCACTTTTATTATGCTTGAAAACATATTTTATACAAAGAATCATTCTTCTATGCTTCTAATGCCAATGAGGTTCCTGAATTCTTCTAATCAGCAATGAAATATTTGTTCCTTCTAATTTTCCTAGTTTGTATAATTTGTCCGAGTACACAGTACTGTATTGTGTTAGCATTGGCATTTCCCAAGATAACTTTCAGAAATGAACAGCTTTTCTGACTCCATCTTAATTTGAAAACTATTTCACAGTTTTTTCTCTCATTTTCTTTTCTTACTACCTAATGGTACTTTACTAAAAATTAAGGCCATTATCTTTTGTCTACTATTTTCAGTACCATTCTTTTCTTAGAAACATGATGTCAAACATTTTGTTATCACTTTCTCCCTAGGTACCTATTCTGTCCATGTTCTCTAATTCCTCCCTACTGTGCAAACTAGGTCTAAAATAAGGACTCCTTATTGCTCGGCGAACCTTATGTAAGCAATTAATCTTTTGTAAAAACTTTCTGAAGTGTGATGGACAACACAGTTTGCCATATTTTTGGAACACTTCCTTAGGGTACATCTTATGTAGGTAATTATTTATTTTGTTTTTTATTTATTTTTCAGAGGGAACTGCGACAAAATGTTGCAGTGTACATCACTCCCTGCTTGGAATTCCAGATTCCCTTTAAATCCCCTCCCCCCAAGGTTTCCCTGGCAACAGTCATTAGGCATTTCATGCCCACTGGGCATGCTCAGTTCTTTCTAACTGATGGGTTTTTTGCTCCATTTGGGTTTCCCCACTTCATTTTTGAGGGGGGCGGGTTGGACGGGGGGTTGCATAAACTCATGTCCAATTAAATTCTCCATGGGTTCTATGGGCAGCTCTTTCTTTCTTCCATCTCTGGGGACATTTACAAATAGTTCCTCAGGGTGCAACAGGAAGTGACCTAGCCAAACAATGAGATGGTCCTTTCTACAAAACACACATACATATGTCCCAGGATATGGTCTGAAAGCACAGGAGGCCATCACCTTGCTGAAGCTATGCAGGTCTAGGTCTGACCAGTACTCTTCCATCTCTCTCATCAGCCTTTCAATTCTCCCTGTCCGCCCACCATGGTAAGATTCTGGCCCCTGGTAAATGCAGCAGAAGCCTGTGCCACCAAATTATTATGGGGCTGTTTCCACCTCTCCCAGCAATAGGTAATTTCTGCTATAAATTTCTGATATCTCTCATAAGTATCTATAATGAGGTTTTGGTTACAAAAGCATGGGAAGATTTGAATCAGTATTAGTATATAGATGACTTGTTTGTTTATTTAAACCAGTCATCTCCCATCCATGAGTGTTTCTACTCTGAGGATAGCTTACATTATTAAATCAACAAAGTAAGAAATTTAAAGACACAGGGTTGTATCCAATGAAGTCATCCCATTATGCAAGTTGTTTTAGTTTTAAGTTGCTTTAACCATGGGTTGCCTCCAACATGAAACAATTAAAATAGTAAATATAAACATAGAACACCTTTCAGCATACATTAAACACAAATCATTTAAAAAAGAACTATTAAAAGACATCAGAGCAGGTGTTAGAAAAGCCTACCTGGAGAGAGTTTCAGAAGAAAGTAGGTTCTATGTGTGACCAAAATCTGCTACCTGGAGACAAATTTCACTATACCATAAGCCATAGCTGCTACAGTAGCGTTTCATCTGTGCTATAAATGTATCTATAAATATATTTATAAATGTATGCCACCTGAATCTTTATATTCTAATATTTTTCATTGACTATGTCATTATACTTAGCCAAAAGAGACAATATAGTGGCCACAATACAAATGAAGACATATATTATGTTTACAGATATGAATGGGAATTAAAGGAGATACACAACTTAGTCATATTCAGAGCAGACCCACTGAGAAGAAAAAACAGCCACACCAATGATTTAAGTAACTTAAATCTATGGATTTCAATGGGTTTATTATGAATGGAACTAACACTGGATACCATCCAACATGTGCAACCACAATTTTCTTTCATATTTTTACTACAGCAATTAGTAATGAAGAAACAAGCCATTTTCAAAGTCACTAGCAGCTTGCCTCTTTGGCAGCGAGTGCTACTGCAATGAACTAAAAAGTAAAGTGTTTGCAACACACACAGTTCCTTTTTCTGAACTCATTACAGTGGTACCTTGGGTTACATATGCTTCAGGTTACATACGCTTTAGCTTACTGACTCCACTAACCCAGAAATAGTACCTCGGGTTAAAAACTTTGCTTCAGGATGAGAACAGAAATTGTGCTCTGGCGGTACGGCAGCAGTGGGAGGCCCCATTAGCTAAAGTGGTGCTTCAGGTTAAGAACAGTTTCAGGTTAAGAATGGACCTCCGGAACAAATTAAGTACTTAACCCGAGGTACCACTGTAGTTATATTAATTAGTACTACAAATCTGAATAACATAACTTTTTACTGAACCAGATCTATTATAGGGATATACTGATTACAAGCAATGGACATCATATGTCCATAAAAGTAGATTAGCAACAGCTAGGAAGCAAAGAAAGAACCACCTCTAATCCAATGGTATGCTCCACTATCCTGCAAAATGACTTACGGTTTTGGCCAGTGAAACTGTCTTGACACCATAAAATCTAGTCATTAACAGTACTACTCTTGCATATTTGTGTGCCTCCCATGAACACACACTTTCATATAAATGCTAGTTTAAAAGGGTTGTCTCCAACTAAGTATACCCAAAGTAGACCTACTAAAATGAATGAAGCTAAGTATGTCATGCCCATTGGATGACTAAGTAAGTTGTGCTCAGTGAATCTATTCTGAGTAGGACTAACATTGGCTACAACATTAAGTAGTTAAATAAAGCAATTATCTAAAAACTAAATCAAGTATACTGGCTTGCATATAGCAGTTGTAGCATTTATTCTTTTACACATTAATTTTCAATGCTTTGTGTACTTTAAATCTTCTAGAAGTATTTTATGCTTGAGCCTGGTAAGGCTATGTTTACAGTTTATTCTCCTCAGCAGTAAATGTTTAATAGATCACTGCAAGTAAGGGAAGAAGTCTGGCAAGATGAAGTAGGAGGGTATATACCATGTAACTTCATCCACCTAACAGAAAGCGATGATGTGAAGCTATGACGTGGGCTGGACTACAGAAACATAGGAACCTCCTCCCCTTTCATAATAAAGTCCTGCCTCACTCCACAATATTGACAGAACTATGGTTGGGCTCCATCCTGAGTGTGGCCAGATTTGCAACTTGTGCCAGATGCTTTTGCTGCTCATAGAAAAAGTCAGCCTCCTCTGCATGCCTTACAGTGCTTGAGAAAAAAGAATTACATTTTTGAAATCTTATCTAAATACAGAAAACCACAGCTGATGTTTAGTAACTCCTGCTAACACCAACCATATCCTTTTATCAGACAGAGTTAAAAGAGGGATTTCTGACCTGTGTAGTCTGGTCACCCTCAGGTCCTGAAGACTCATTGCTTTCTTCATTCACTGTATTGCCTAGAAGACACAATGCAAGAGATTTGTGTTATTGGTCCCTTTCGTGAATGCAACATCACTTACAATGTAAAAGTTTGCAGTTTGCTTCCCCACCAAAACCCAGCCCAAATCAAGACATCTAACACTGAAATTAACAGGCAGTAAAATGTTCAAGAAACAGCTGAAAAAATGAGACGTGTTCCATGTGCTTCAGCAAACTTCTTATTCTGCAAAATGTTTCTCATAAATAGTTTCCTCATCACAAACTACTTCCCTCTCTTCTTATTGGAAACATTTTCAAAATCGGTTATAAAATACAAACTTGTTTATAAAAACATAGGTATTGTTCAACAAAAGGGCACATCATGTCACAATGCATTTCAGTAGAGAGCTGTCATGTTTGCAAATTTTAACATCAAAGATGTTTTGCATTATAATGAAGATACTTCTGATGCACTGAGAAATTCACTGAAAAGGAGAGATCAAGCATTTTCAAATTTTCTGGTCTACTATGTTGAACCATGTTTACGTAATTATTAGTAGAGGTAGCATAGTTGTGGCCGACTGAGACCTCTGAATGGGTTCCTATTTCCTTCCTACTGTGAAATCTCATTTGTACTGTTTCGTTTGTGATCTTGCTATGCTACCAAACTAGATATCCTTCACAACAACTTCTAAAATTAGGACTCACACAAAGCTAGAAGAAAGAGACACCACAACGATAACCAGCAACTGTTTTTGAATGCGGTTATCATTACTTTCAACCTTCTCATGCTGCCTGAAAAAAACGTAGGGTTGAATGCTTGTTAATACAGAAGTCACACCTCTTGGGACACTGAAAACATGAAGCCCAAGCTCATCGTGATGATGGCCTTACCTGTTGTACATATACTTGAGGACACACAATGTGGTTAAGATGACACCATCCTTGTAGCTTCAAGTGGAACAGACGGCTAGCACACATTCTATCTTTGATTCTGACAAAAGATGCTTTTGGTGTGATAAAAGCAAGCCAGATGAACATCTGCAGGAGACTATACTAAACAGGGTGTTCTGAAAAACTGTGTCACCATGAGCCTCCTGAAGGGCAACAGAAACATTTGTTTTCCTGACAAGGGCAGCGAATGCAGGCTATTCTATTGGCCACTTCTTTAGAAGCAAGGCTAGCCAATTAAAGGAAAGGAGTACCGTATTTTTCGCACCATAGGGCGCACCGGACCATAGGGCGCACCCAGTTTTTAGGGGGGGAAATCAAGAAAAAATCTTTCCCCCCCCCCAGCCCCAAAGAGCAGCGTACAGGGTGCGCACAACCTCTCCCTGCCGGAGGGGTTGCGAGCAGCTATGGAGCAAGCCACGTTTGGCTTCCCCTTTAGCCCCATGCAGCCTCTCCTTGCCGGGAGACGCTGCACAGGGCTAAAGAAGCCATAGCCCCATGCAGCCTCTCCTTGCGGAGGGGTTGCGCGCAGCTATGGAAGAAGGCAAGGCAGCAAGCGGGATGGATCCCGCTCGCTGTTTTGCCTTCTCCTTTAGCCCCGCGCAGCCTCTCCTTGCGGAGGGGTTGCGCGCGGCTATGGAAGAAGGCAAGGCAGCGAGCGGGATGGATCCCGCTCGCTGTTCTGCCTTCCCCTTTAGCCCCGCGCAGCCTCTCCTTGCGGAGGGGTTGCGCGCGGCTATGGAAGAAGGCAAGGCAGCTAGCGGGATGGATCCCGCTCGCTGTTTTGCCTTCCCCTTTAGCCCCGCGCAGCCTCTCCTTGCGGAGGGGTTGCGCGCGGCTATGGAAGGAGGCAAGGCAGCGAGCGGGATGGATCCCGCTCGCTGTTTTGCCTTCCCCTTTAGCCCCGCGCAGCCTCTCCTTGCGGAGGGGTTGCGCGCGGCTATGGAAGGAGGCAAGGCAGCGAGCGGGATGGATCCCGCTCGCTGTTTTGCCTTCCCCTTTAGCCCCGCGCAGCCTCTCCTTGCCGGGAGATGCTGCGCAGGGCTTTCCTGGCTTTTCTGGGAGGTGGGGGAATTCCCCCACCTCCCGCAAAACCGGCAGAAGCCGCGCGCACTTTAAAAGGGCTGCACGGCTTCTCCTGGCTTTCCTGGGAGGTGGGAGAAGGGACTGATGCGGCCAGTCAGTCCCTTCTCCCTCCTGTGGAAAAGCCCGCAAGAGCGCACGGAGCTTGTGTGCGGCTCTTGGGGGCTTTTCCCGCCTGCCTCCCCCCCTGCATTCGCTCCATAGGACGCACACACATTTTCCCTTGCTTTTTAGGAGGGAAAAAGTGCGTCCTATGGTGCGAAAAATACGGTAGGTGCAAAGACATAAAAAGCCCACCAGAGGCGGCCACAGGGAAACCAAAAGCTCAAAAATGTTGCAACTATTTGTCTAATGACCGCCCCCCTGACCCAAAGTGACATCTCATGATTAGAGATAACCACCCACCCAGAGTCTTCTCCAGACTTGGAGCTGTATTGTTATGTGTACGTGGCAGATTTAGCAAAATATTAAAATTCAAGATATGCATGAAGCTTAACAGAGTCAGAATGCTTAGTACTAGCAGGTTCAGGCCTATTTTCTCTCCTTCCTCGCCTGCCCCTAAGTTATCATGTTGTTCTGCAACATATGCTTGGGAGAGCATTCCAGGCTTTATGTGGAAAACAGGCAAGTCTCATAAAATAACACGAAAGTACTACATTATCAAGCTGTTTCAAAATCTAGCCATTTGCTCTGTGCAATCCACACACAAGGTTATTTTGACATCAAAACTCCCAAGGAACTCTACATCTAGAGATCTACCCAACAGTCTCTCCCCAAACTGAAGACAAAAGTCTGGAGCCCAGCGGAATCAAACCAGGGCATGTTCATCATTAGAATTCCATGTTTCAGTAGGTGAGAAGAGCACAGGCACATTGGTCCAAAGCGTTCCATTAAAAAGTACAAATGACATTTTTGCTAATGGACCCATATCCTCAAATGGATCAAAGCAAAACAAAAATAAAATAACATTGATCTTCCAGTTCCATTCCAAAAGCCCTGAAAGTCCTGTCTACTGATATAGTGCTACGAGTTAAGAACAGATGGAAGTGAAGATAAAAGCATTTTAAATATTTCAGATTGTGGTGGCAACCAATCTAAGTATATTTTTAAAGCTGAGTTTGCACCTGGCACCACTGGCAAAAAAATTGAACATGTAGAACAGGCAGCATGATGGCAGCCCAAGGCAGTCCAACAGTTGTGCATATACAAAGAATGCGAAGTTAAGGCCCTGGGCAAGAAGAGGAGACAATCGAGTCAAAAACATTTGTGTTCCAAATCTGAGAGTCAAAAGATACTGTTCCTCATGCAAAAGTGTTCATTTGCAAAGAACAATTCTGGAGGGCAGCTTGTCATGTAAAACAAAAGTTTTTATTTTTAGCCTGATGAAAGCTAAGCTTAGAAAGATGCCAGACTCCTCCTGCACACACATAAAAGAGAGAGAGAACCTGAACTGTCAATTTACACATGCTTTCTGATATTTGCCAAGTTATTATTCCACAATACTGTGCACCCTTAATTTCATTACTGAATCTTAACAGGATAAGAGCCCCAAGTCCAAACAAATTGCAGATATAAAGACCCAGGGGCTTGAGGAAAAACTGTCAAGCGCAGGCTCCTTTCATGCCCTTCAAACCCATGTGCTGAGTGGCGACAGCCCAGTTACATAGTTGTTTCCTGCGGGGGAAGCACCTGCAGGGCTGTGCTTTCTTCTGGTATGAAAGCACCCACTTTGCATCAGTTATAAGACTCACTCCGGGCCGTTAGAGAGCAGGGGAGCTTGTGTAAGCTTCCATCCCTAATGGGAAGTGGGGAGGAACTGGGGTGCAAGTGTGCTTGTGTTTGTGTAAAGCGGGCCATCAAAAAGCGCTGCACCCGGCACTTCCCATTTCCTATCAGTCCCTTTCACCTCCTTCCTTCCTGTTATCTCTCTCCCCTCTTTCCTTCCTTGCCTGGCAACTTTCCATACTACAACCTTGCTCTCTTTAACCAACTCCTGCTCTTGCAGGTGCTTGTGGGCAGCTGCTGCTGATAGCTGAAAGGCAACAGCGTGGCCGGGAGACAGACTGAGGCCCACCTGAAAGCCATTCCCAGCCCACAGCTTGATAATTCATACGGGTTTCTGCAATCCCAGTTGTAAAGACTTCCGAGCACCAGGAAGCAGCTGGTTTTCTGAAGCAGTGGTTCCCAAACTTTTTCAAGCCACTGCCCCCTTAGTTCCATAATCTCATCTCCAGTGTCCCCTAGAATCGTGGTTTGCACAACCCACTAAGGAAGACAGTAACACAGTAACAAAATTTGATAGTGATTTGCACCTGCCTGCCTCTTAGCGCCTCCCCTAGGTAATCCCACTGCCCCCCTCATGGTGCCCACTTTGGGAACCCACTGTATTGAAGTCTAGCAATACATAAACAAATTGAGAAAAGTGTATCTTTCTCAGATCTTTTTATGCTATTGCATAGGCATCAATTATTTTGCCATAAGACTTCAAACCAATATATTCTCATCTACATATCTATCCTTTCAAGTTCTGGTTGAGCTTAAAAAGAAGTGTTAAAACCTCCATTCTGCAGCAGAGAATACTTAGCAGCACCCTTTTTTTGAAAACAAACAAACAAGGTTTTCATTCTGCCATCTGAATTTGGTTTAGCAACATTAAGGTTGGGCAACATTAAGGGACTACTTCACTTCTCAGAAGTTCCATATTATTATTATTATTATTTTAATTTTGCTTTCATGTACATGTTGAATTATGCTGCAGCTGCCTCGCTACTGACCACTTCTGTCCTGAAAAACTGTAGCAGAGGACTGTGAAGGTCTTGATTAAAAAGCAAAATGTTAATATGAGACAGGACAAACCGGGTGCAGCTGCTCCATTTCACTGAACAAGCACCTCTTCTCCATTCAGCTGTGAAGAATGGCACCGACTGTAAATTGTTCTCTGCTGATAGGTTCCACAGGAAACGCAAAACTACACTACTTTCAACTTTTCAAAGCCATTGATATT